GCCAGAAATTTTTGTCTGATTATTTTTCACTGTTATATCCAGTGGTTAGAATGACACCTGATACCTAACAGGTCATCAATTAATAACAGTAATAATGATGGCAAATTTAAAAAAATTTTTAATGATAACAATAATGGCTAACATACAGAGAGCATGAAGCATAGACTATGTGCCAGGCACCATTCTAATGCTTTACATGCATTAATTCATTTAATCTTCACAAGAAACTCATGAGGTAGGTACCACTATTACAAATAACTATTTGATGACTGATGTCAATGCAGAAGTACTTACGGTTCTGGGGTATAGAGGGGATCTGAACTGTGTCTTACATACTGTGTACAGTGAAAAACTCGAAAGGCTAAACCTGATAAGAAATCTCTCGGTGATAAATAACCAGCCACCGGACGGATGGAAAAACCTGTGCGCTCTGCAAAGTAAAGGAGAAAACAGAAAATCTTCACCAGAACAGACTATTTACACATTTTAATTCTTCCAGTGACACCAACACTTTGAGGGAAGTCACAGAAACTAAAGTTTATCATGCGTGTACTACAGGGAAGTAATCAATTATTAAGAACTTACCACAGCCAGTCAATGAGTTAGAGATTTCATATATTACATCTCCTTTCATGTTTACAATATGAGTTAAAGTTTATTGTCTTCATGTGACAGCCATAACTGAGGCTCAGAGACCCAATAATGTGTCCAAAGCCACACAGTAGATGATAAAGGGAGGATGAGAACCCAGGTCTCCTTGTACTATACTATACCTTGCTATCTTCCTACAGAGTTTAGAATAGCACCTAGAAAATCTTTCTTTTTTTTTAAGAAACTCACTAACAAGATCTAGGAACTTGTATCAGAACCAATTTTAAGTTTATGTCATTTTTAGCCAGTTCTATCTCTTGTACTCTATTTTATCTAAATTGATGGTACTCTCCATTTCTCAAGAGCTAAGTCTGTATACCCACTGTAAAGGGGCCTGCCACCAGGTGGCTGTGGCTCAGGGAACCCTCTATGAGCTCTGCTCTTGCCCTTCATTTCAAACACACATACTTTGGTATTCCAATTCCACCTAGTTGCTTTGTACTTGGATTCTCCCACTCTGACAGGCGAACTTCAAAGTCCAATAGAACTTTCCAAAATGACGAAAATAATCTATGTCTAGGTTACCCAATAGGATAGCCACCAGCCATATGTGGCCATTGAACACTTGAAATATGGCTAGTGAGGCTGGGGAACTAACATTTTCATTTACATTAATTTTAAACAACCACATGTGTCTAGTAACTACCATATGTGACAGTGCAGGTAGCCCCTTCCAACTGCTGTTTTATTTGAACTGTCTTCTAATTTTGGTTTATCTCTTTAACAGTTTCCTTGAAACACCTTTAGCAATATGTTCTGCAGCCAATTCAAGCTCCAGATGCCAAGGGAACAGATTTCAGTTGTATATACATGACAAAGTATTTCCTGCAAATCTCATGCAAATTTGATTTGATAACTTCTGTAGCATACCCTTGTCTATCTTTGTAAGTCTCATGAGGTCATGTTCATTGATTCTCTGTCATCCTTAATTAACCAATATTTTTTTAAATCTATTTTTTGTAGGAACCACTCATATGAGTTTTTCTCTTATAAAAACTCTATTACCATTTGCTGTTTAGTTCATCTCAATTTTGTGTAAGTGGTTGAATAATGAAAATTATGGAGTTGAATATATATGCAGATTTTTATAACTGTGTAAGAAATTCAAAGAGAGTAATTTCACACCATGATGGAAATAAACTAAACTCCTTTTTAGTCAAACACATAACATTTATTTTTTCCTAAATATCAGAATCTACTCAGATCAAAGGCATATTTATTTTTCTTTTGTATTTTAGACCCTGGAGATCACTGATCATTTTACTTCCTATTCTAGTTAGAAAAAAATTAAGAAGCCTAGAGCAAATAAGCATAAAGAACTAAAAGGAGCAAAATTGTCCTTACTCTTTATTTATGCCTCTACTAGTATATCTTCCTCCTTGGGAAAATGATAGAATCTTAGTGTGGAAAGGGGCTGCAGACATCGATTACTCCAACCTTCCCCAAGGTACTTGAATCTCCTTTACCATAGCCCTGACAAGAGGATATAGAGCTTTTGCATAAACACCTCCATAAATGCAGAAATAACCATTTCATAAGCCTATTCCATTTTTAAAGAGCTCTTTTAGCAAGATCTCTGTTTTGAGCCAAAAGCTTGCAGTTTCTATCCAGTTGTCATTTACTTTAAGGCCACATGACAATTCCTCTACTGCATAAGATGACCTTCAGATATTTAAATAAAGCTATAATGACTCCTAAATCTCCAGGTTAAATACTCTAGAATTTTTCAGATTGTATTTATATGATACATTTCCCAATCCCCTAGTAATGCTGCTTACTTCCATTTACACTTGCTCCAGGTAATGATTGTCCCTTTTCAAGTGTGATGCCCAGTACTAGACAGAGTACAGGAAAATTCTGACCTTCCACAGAACTTTATTTCCCTATTAAAAATTATGTCATAATCAAAACAGAGTTCAATATTCCCCTTATAAAAAATTACCTAGTGTACTACCTTTTAAAAAGTTTGAGACATCTTCCAATTGTGGGATATTATCTTCACGGTATCCACAATATTTAGAAAGCAAAGGTAAGTTTTTGAGATACTCTCTGCAGGCATGGGTTGGGTAAAGTTTGTTGAGCTCTCGGAACACAGTTCCCCAGGTCTTAATCTCCTCTTCAGTAAATTCAACCTTAGGAATAGGATCTCCACTAATAAGAGAAAGAGAAGAGGTTATTTTGAACTCTTACTCAATAAACAGTAGCACTATTCTCTATTTACTAAAAGAGCATAATCTATTCATTTTTGTTATTATTTCAAAGTGGGGTAAGTTATTTTTATAATACACTTACTGTTTATAGTTCATAGCCAAGTCTGCAAAATACTTTCGTCTTTTACGGTAGACATTGTCTTTGAAGCCCTGGTAATTACAGAAAAGTTTTTAAACATCCATACTAAAAAATACTTGACAAATGATACTTAGGAAACATTTCATTGGAGTTATAATTGGAGCTACTATATTAAAGGGCTACATAATTGTTATTTTGAGCAAGCATTGTTGAAAAATTTATGATCCTTTTTATTTCAAAATTATGTTATATGATAGTTTTAAACTATTGTAGTTACAAAGATAAGACAGTATAGATACAAAAATGCTATAGTAGCTATAAAAACAATTGGAGGAATAAGAAAAGCACCACCACCACTGTGTTGTATACTTGAAACCAATATAAGATGATACATCAACAATACTTCAATTTTTAAAATATAAATAAATAAATGTGCAAAAAAAAAAAAAAATTACTGTAAAAAGTCCATATAAGTAACCAGAAACCCAGCATCCAGTTCTTTTTACCCATTAACATTGCCTCCAACCAAATTAACAGTTTATAATAAATTACATGTATAATAGAAAGTAAAAAAAAGGAAGAAGAAAGGGAGAATGGAAGGAAGGGAGGAAGGGAAGAAGGGAGGAAGGAAAAGTACCACCTTAGTTAAATACATGGAACTTTTCCTGGGGCACAATATTTTTTTGTTAATCATCTGACTACATTTTCAATTATATTTTCCTGTAATAATAATTAATAATACTTCAAATTAGACTTAACTTAATCTAGCCTTAGATTTTATTGCAAAATGCAAACACAGTCATTATTTGTAGGAGCAAACAATAATAATAAAAACAGATAAAATAGTAATATTATAATTTATACCTATGCGAATTATTTAAGGAAAAAAGATAAAATAAGGCATCAAATAGCACAGCCCAGGGGGAAATAGCCAGTAATGCAAAATAGGAGAGAATGGGAGGATGCCTGAAAGGAGAGAATGAGACTCATCACTTTAATGCAGATTTTTCAAGCCCCTACTATGCTCCTGGCCTTGTGCTAAAATCCAGAGAAACAAGTATGAACAAAGCACAATCTGGGTCTTCAAGGAGTTCCCATCAACCAATTATTATGAAACAATATAAGTGCCTTATTAGAAATATGCACAAGATGTCAGTAAGAGTCAAAAGAGAGACTCATAATCCAGAGATGTGAAAGAGGGGTCAGGAAAGGCTTCCCAATGATGACTCCTAAACTAAGTCTCTAGAGGGGAGTGCAGGCAGTGAGGTGGAAGAGGACAGAAGGACAGCACCAATGAAAGTACAGACGTGAAAAACAGCACGCTGTACCGAAGAAATACAAGCAAACCAATGTTGTTGGAGCTTGGAAAATGAGTGGAGCATGTTGAACACTAGTTGGGGGTCTGCTAGAAAAGGTTTGTTTAAGACCTTGAATTTTAGTCTTTGAGTAATGGGAAGCCATTGGTGATTTAAAAAAAAAAAACAGCTTTCTTGAGATATAATTCACATGCCATAACATTGACAAGTTAAAGTGCACAACTCACTGATTCTCAGCATGTCTGCCATGCTATGCAACCACCTCCACTACATAACTGCAAAACATTCTCATCGTCCCAAAGAGAAACACCATAATCATGGGCAGTCTCTCCCCATTTTCCCCTCACCTCCAACCTCAGGCAGCCAATAATCTCTTTCTATGAATTTGCCTATTCTGGATATTTCATATAAAGGAATCATATAATATAGGGCCTTTTGTGACTAGCTTTCTTCACAATTATAGTGTTTTCAAGGTTGTAGCATGTATCAGAATTTCGTGCTTTTTTATGACCAGTAGAACTCTACTTTATGGACACACCCTACTTTCCTTCTCCATTCATCAGTGGCTAGACATTTGGCCCCACTTTTTTTTCTATTATGAATAACTGTTATGAACATTGTTTATGAGTTTTTGTGTGGACATATTTTCAGTTTTCTTAGATATATACCTAGGTACCAGTGGTAATTTTTAGACAGAAGAAGGATAATGGTCATACAGAGGTTTTAAATTACTCTAGTGACTCTGAGGAGGATGGGAGTGAGGTGGCAAGGCTGGAGACAGGGAGGCTAGTTAAGGGATGTGACAGTATGAATAAATAGGGAACAAATTTAAGAAATATTTAGGAAGTGAAAATCAGCAGGACTTAGTAGAACAGTAAAACTGATTTACCCACCTTTCCATAAACATGCCCCAGATTTTCTTGCCTCTGAACTTTGCTCATACTGCATTGAATTGTCCTTCCTCTCCATCTCTTTCCTGCCCAAATCCCTTAAGGCCCAGTAAAAACATTGCCTTTCTCTGATCTCTTCAGCTAGAAGTGTTTGCTTTCTTGTGCGTATCTCAAAGCAACTCGTTCATGCCACTTAACACAGTTTCACATTTTAATCTTGTGTATGTTTATTTATATATATATGTCCTTTATGTTTTCAACTAGGCTATAAGCCCCTTGAGAGTAGGTACAACACATTAATTTCAACAGTTACTCGATAAGATATCATGGAGTAAGTGGATGGGTCAGCTGGGGCTGTCTAAGGCAGTATACGTACGGTGGTCCCCTTCGCACAGCTATTAAGTGGAAGAAGCGAGAGACAAAAGCCCTTGTCTGTGCCACTCCACAACCTTAGTCCCTTCTCTCCTCCTGGATCCTGGAGCTCTGTAAGCAATCCTAATGCTCTGGGCTTACTAATTTTCCAACTCATGCTTGTACTATATCCCACATAACTTCCCAGGGCAACAACTTCCCAGTTCATTAACTGCCGAATAAACCAGTTACGCTGTGCAGTGTGGGTGATAAGTCTTTCTCCTTCCTATCTTTACTCCCGTTACAATAACCCATGGTCATTTTAATAAAAACTGACCGCAGATACTGTCTTCACTTTAGTATAACTCTTGGAGTAGCTCTTAATAACAGAATGCCAGGCATGGGACCAATGTTTTGGAGCCAATGAAGTCAAATGCTCTTTAAGTCATTTAGTCTCATTTCCAACATGAAGGACTACTAACACTTGCTGAAATCCAGATTAAAGCAAGATCTTATAGTCTAGAATAAGTACTTTCTCCAAAAAAGAAAACAAGACTTCCCTTAATTTTTAGTTTGCTTTAAATTATTTTCATGAAAATAGTTATTCAAAATGCTTACAGGATGGTCTGCATCCAGTTCAGATCCATACATTAGAACTCTGTTGGCACAATGGTCCAGGTCAGAAATCTTCTTTGGAAACCAAGGAACAGTATCCATACCTGCAAAATACAAAAACCACTAGCAGTCGAAGAGACAACCTTAACTAAAGCAATAAGGAAGAAGAAATTAAGAAAGTAATGAAGGCATTTGGATAAGATTTTTATTTTAGTTTATACATTGAGGCAAAATTTATATACGTAAACTGTTCTATTTCTAATAAGTAAATTCTACTCAAAATTTTTGAGCTTGAAGTTTTTCAGCCTTGATTTCTTAAGTACTGAAGAAATGTACTTTAGTAGTAGATCAAAATTTTTTTTTTTTATTTTAAGCTTCCTATCTAGCTACCCAAAAAGCATAAGGATGTACAACTTTTATAACCCAAGGTGCAAATCTAATAAGAACTTTGAATGTTTTCATTGATGAAAAGGATCTTCAAGATCACTTATGTCTTGGCCACTTTGATCTTTTCACCATCCCGCAGACATACAAGCCCTCATAAAACATGGGGGTTTGCATATGCTGTTCTGCCTGGAATCCCTAGACCACTCTCACTTCCTGCTCCGCCCCATCCTGCTGCTTTCCTGAGATTATCCTTCTCCTCCTTCAAGACCCAAATCAAAACAAATGAGCCTTCCCTGGCCCTGTAGGTGGAGCTAATTCTCTATCTTCTATGTTTCCAATACACTATGTTTCTAATTTTCTAAAAGCTTTTCCTATATTTTACTATAATGTATCTGTGTATGTCTGTCTTACAGGAAAAAATGGGAACAGCTGTAGCATATGGACCATAAATATTTGTATCCTCATCTCTTTGTAGAAATATTTGACACACATTTGTGTTCCCTAAATATCAACTGAATCATTTAGCCTCTAAAAATGTCTTCATTTTATAGATGCAGTACCCATAGTCCAGAGAGGTTAAGTAGTTTATCCAAGGTGACTCCAATGGAAGAAAGAGGATCAGACCTCACACTTTCTTGCTCCATTCTAATGCTCTTTTTCACATATCCAGAGGGGATATTTAAGAGACTTAACAACAAATACAACAGGGGCACCAATCACTCAAAATAAACTATAGCAGAGTCCTAGGCTCCTGCTCTGCCAGGTGTTAGCCATTAGTTGTTTGTGATGGGCATGGGATCCCTAGGGGAGGATGTGGAACACACAGGCTTCAGGGTGGTGGGGAACCCTCAAAGGACTCAGGGAAGCAGCTATCTACCAGCCAGAAATGGAAGTATGTTAATATTTTAATAATTTATATACCCTACAAATAAATAACAGATGAATATCAGCCCTGGTTATACCGCAAAGATTGTGACATAAGATGAAGGGATTATTTTCAATTGAGCACCTTATATAAAATGTGACTGAATTATCCATTTGTCTTATGCCCCAAGTAAGCTACAAGGATGTTTTCACAGTAGAAGATCTTAGCCTATATCTTTATAATCTGAGTATCTGAAACCTTAAAAAGCTGTACTGCTTTTTCATCTGCTTTAGGTGGCAGTGGGGACAGGGAGAAACATTCCACCAAGTGTACCGTACATCATCACTGTCAGCAGCAGTCAACATTCTCAACAAATTCAAATATTCATTCATCTGCTAGATGCTGAGGCAGGAGGTAACTGGTGAGATAGGTAAAACAGGACATGTTGTCCTGGTAGAGACCTGCCAAGTGGGACACTGACACCAGGCATTGTGGTCAGCTGGCCAAGTGGGACATGTAAGAAACCACACCCTGGGATGGCCAGCCTGAGAAGAAAGGGAGAGTTTTCTGATCTCCCAGTCCAGCCCTAGCAACAAGTCCAAGGCAGCCATGTGGACTTCCCAGCCCAGCCCTAGCGACAGGTCCTAAGCAACCAAGTGGACTTCCTCCTCGATGTGCTTATAAAAACCCATGGCCACTGCAGTCCTAACAGCTTCCTCCCTTGGAGCCCCTCCTGATTAGTAGGAGCTTTCTTCTTTCCACTCCTCATTTAAAACTTTGCTGGCTGCTCCATACTCTTGTCTGCAGGCTTCATTCTTCGCTGCCTCTTAGACATGATCCCAGGAAAAATGGTAACTTTTCCACCGGTAATAATGCTAAACTCTGTGAGAGTTTCTAAGTGTTCAGGGATTGTGAGTTGTAGACTTGTGAAATCAAGAGATGCCTAGTGATATGAAAACTGAGAAAACATAACACTTGATAAAATGTTGCTTTATAATTTTTCTTTATTATTTTGAGCAATTATATTCTGTGCTCTCTTAACTACCAGACTGTCATCAATTTGAAGAGAAGGTGTTTTATTTTTACTTTCATGCTTTCAAAATAAATATAAGATTAGACATATATTATGTACTTAATCTTCTCAGTAGAATTTCCATTTTTCAAACTTACCATCTTCCTTCACAGTAAAATTATCTGGTGGATTCACAGAGAGAACATTAGTTTGAATCTTCAACAAATGAAAAATATCATTCAATTGTTCTCTGTTGATATCACAGTCAACAAATATCTCAAATTCTGAGTTTCTTCTCTTTGATTTTCGGGACTCAATATGTAACAGGTTTACACGCTTCTCCTGTGTAAAGCAGAGAGTAAAGATTACATGTGACTGCCTCAAACTGTAATAATCTCAAGAAAATTAATTTCATTACCACTAAAAATCAGTTTTACACTTATCATAATAGCCAAAGAGCAAAAATGCTATTTTTAGTGCAGCCAATATCAAAATAATTCCTCCTAAACATTAGGTACTATTCAAAAATGTTTGAAAAACTTACCAACCCACGATAAACTAATAAAATAACACCCTATAGGGAAAATGGAAGTTTCTATGGCCAGGATCCTCACCTGACCCTAAACTACTTGCTGATGTAATTGCCCTACTGGTAGGCTAATGCTTATATGCCCATCGGCAATGTGACATTATTGTGGATGTTACTATATAAAGAGCTCTGCCCTGAGGCAGAGACAGATGGATTGCAAACACCCAAGAGGCAAATGTGATTCCAGCATTCAGACTTGCCACCAAGAGAATAAAGCTTGTTATAAACCCTCTTACACCTAACTTTCCATTGTTACTGGGTCTTACTGAATCCAGAGTGAACTTGCCCAGGGGCAATCCCCCTCTGGTGAGACATATCCACTACAAGTCCCTCAGATTGTCACAATTAATTGGCCTGCAAATCAAAATCCAAGACTCCAAGATAAAAAGAACTCTTTGAGAATTCTCACAAATAAAATCTTGTTTTCAAAAAGTGATATTAATGCTAGTCCTTTAGAAAGAAAGTTTCCTCTGCAAACATACATTTAACAAAATTAGATAAACAGCTTAAACACAGGGTATTTTATACCTCAAATCTCTTAAACTACAAACTTAGTAACCAGCTGAACCACACTGCTTCTTGTGATCTCTTCCCATGCCAGCCTGAGCTGTGAGTGCCATATGTGTATGTGTGGGAGGAAGATATCTTTTCTTACCAATTTGGATAGCTGAGGAAATGCACCAGTGACATAATGCATGATAAGGAAAAATTCTGAAATGTCCTAAATTAAATGGCATAAGTGTTAGAAAGAAAGACAGATATGAGCTGGATGAAAAGAGGGTGGGGCCAACCAAGAATTCAGAGAATTAATCATATAAAGCCAGAGAGCCAGAGATAATTCAGTGGATTAATTAAATGAAGCCACAGGGACCAAGAGTGACTTGAAGGGCATAGGCACTCTCCAGATGACAAAAATTCCCCAGATAAAAATGTCAGAGCCCAGCCTATGTCTTCAATCCTCTAATCAGATCAAGCTCCCAAGGCCAAGAATATCAATCAAACACTTCTCTGCCTTGCCAAAACCCCATAAAAAGAAGCCTCACGGTAGGCAGCCTGCCTTTATCTACCTTGACTGTAGCCCACTCCTCATTTGGAGTGTATTCAAATAAAACTTTCATTCTGCTTCACTATTATATCTGTGCCTTTCAATTCTTTGTTGTGGCAGGGACAAGAAGTGAGGAGAACAACTTCAACCTTTAACATATTTGGGGCCGTGAGACTCAGATTCCCACTCCCGGTAAGCTGCATGCACCTCACCCCCTGGCTGAAGGCACTCACTATCTACCTATTCTCTGGGAATCCTTCCCTTCCTTCTCTGTTTCTCACAGAATATGTCAATGCAGAGACTTCCTTTCCCATGTCCACAAATTTCTCCTACTTGCTGCACTTATTTTCTTCCCCTCCTCATTTTTTGTGTTATCTGGCGGTTGGGTAATTGGGGGCGAGACCCTCATCTCATGATCCCCTCATCCATGAGATGTCCACCAGATCTGGTCAAGGTAGTACCTGCCTGTACTCACCTTGAGAGAAACCCTACCCAAGGAGGCAGGTCATAATTGGGTCCTCAGGAATGTCTCCCAGAGCAGCCCGAGATTTCTCCCTTTACTCTCTTCTTCACCAACAGCTGCCCCTAGGAGCTAAGACCCTTCTCATTTGCCTTGATTCTATGACCCTTTGTCCCTTTCATGCTGACAGTTCTTTCTATCTTCACATCAGCTCTGTTGGCCCGATTTTCCATTTAGAGGGGACCAGAGATGTTTACTCTGATGGCATCTGCAGATCTGACTTAACTCTGACCTTCCATCATGAACCCAGCTCTCCAGCCCAGCAGACAGCCTGCAGGAGCAACATAGGCTAGGGCCAAAACCCCTTCCCTGACACTCTCTCTGTTTACATTGATTTTTCTCATGTTTGTCCATAGTGCTGATACTCAGTCCAAACTGGCTGACTTTGGCTCTCCACATTTCTATTCCAACTTCTGCCCCTCCTTCTGGAGTCTGACTTCTATCCTCCTCATCCATTTGACAGCAGGTTCAATTTCCCCTTGTCCTTTCTGTGGATTTGCCCACCACTTTCCCACTTTAATGTTAAGCACCTCCTTCACTGTCCCCCTCCCATAAACCTTTCCCCCTTGCCTGCTTATTACAAGCCCACTCAAGTTATTTTATCATTTGATCCTTATCTCCCTTTTCATCCCAGACTTAGGCTCTGTTGCCCACGACTTCCCTTTTTCTCCTTTGCTGTCACTCCATGGCACATACACTTCTGGCCAGAGAGACAGAACTGGAGAAGTTTCTGATTCATCAATGACTCTCAGAATCATGGGGAGTTCCGTTGCACTTTTAGAACTGGGCATCCTGGCTATTCTCCTTTGCTGGACCCCATTAATGTTTTCCTAGCCCCACAATTTGAACCAGGCTTACTAAAACTCTTAACTAAGTTTATATCTTACAGACTACAGTCCCTTGAGATTAAAGTCCTGTTGTCATGAAGGTTCAAGCCCTTACCGACTGATGAATTAGCCAACTTCTTGAGACCCCTGGATGGGTACTCTTATTCCACCATCCCGATAATCAGCAAGCAGAGGGACCCAAAAGGACTGTACTTATCCCTCACAAGCAGGAAGTAGTCAGAGCAGTCATTGACCTTCATCCCAATGACTTGAGTCCCAACTGCTTGAGGGGGGAATGATAGGTAGACATATGAGCTGGATGAAAAGAGGGTGCGGCCCATCAAGAACTCAGGGAGTTAGTTAGATAAAGGAAGAGACCCAGAGGATTAATTAAATTAAGCCCCAGGGACTGAGAGTGACTTGAAGGGCACAGGCACTCCCCAGATAAAAACCTCAGAGCACAGGCACTCCCCAGATGACAAAAATTCCCCAGATAAAAATGTCAGAGCCCAGCCCATGTCTTCAATCCTCCAATCAGATCAAGCCCCCAAGGCCAAAGAATATCAGTCTAGGACTTCTCTGCCTTGCCAAAAAAAAAAAAAAACATAAAAAGAAGTCTCACAGTAAGCAACCTCCTCCCTCAATGTATAATCAAATAAACCTGCCTTTTTCTATCCTGACTCTAGCCAGCTCCTTCCTTGGAGTGTATTCAAATAAAACTTTCATTCTGCTTTGCTACTGTGTCCCTGCCTTTCAATTATTTGTTGAGTCATGAACAAGAACTGAGGAGAATGAACTCAACCCCTAAGAGGAAGGGCTGAAGAATGAGGGGAAGAAACAAGAGAAGATAATCAGTCAATAGCCTCAGGCGGTAGCTAACCAGAAACTTCACCTTCCTGGATGAAGTCATTTCAACAATCTAGAAGGCGCCCAGAACCACTGCATCCTTCTTGTGCATGACCAGTGCCTAACCATCATCAACCAATTCATGAGCCTTCACTGTGGACTACCTACCTAGCCCTGGACTTGCCCCACTCACAGCAGCTCACCTTCCTTATCTGTAGCCAATGTGAATTTAAAGACCTTTACTCCCTTGAGACTCCTTAAAAATGTCCCTGGCTTCTTGAGTCTGGCAGACAAGTTATTCCTGTGACCTTGCCTTGCTGTTGGTGAAGCAAACTTTCTGTACCAGGACTAAGTCTTTATCTGGCTAGAACCCATAAAGGTTCAATAAACCCTTTTATTTCAGAGATCACTCAGTCTCTAGTTTTTATTTATCATACAGTGGCAGCAATGGGATCCAATCTTCAGGAGGAGTAGAAAAGGACACCATTCTCTCAAAATTAAGTGCAGGAACCCACAGGCAGCTCTCTTGTGACCCACTGAATCAAGATGAATCCTCCCTTCTCAGCCCCTCTGAAGCTTTGTAATATGCACCGACAACTTGTGACTGTTGCATGCTGGCTTTATTGGGCCCCTCTGTTCAGATAATCCGTAAGTGGCCCTCCCAGACATATACAGCATCAGGGTCAATCTGGAGCTGGTAAATTTGAGGGGATGCCCTAAACCTGGCTTTATTTTGTTGTTGTTTTATGCCAGTGACTGCTTATCTAGATATATTCTGTTGTTCTGATTATTTTAACTACTTTAAAATAATTGAACTCATAATGATACTTTGTGTGGCATATAGTATGATTTCAATTTGGATTATATTTGTTCTTGGTTAATCAAATATCCCTAGTTCTCAAAGCAAAGTGAATGAGGGTGGACTCACCCTAAAGATGAGAGACAACTTGTTCATTTGGGCTCTCTTGTGGGAGTTTCTAAGGTGACTAGAAAACTTTGCAGAAGTGTTTTGGTCCATGACTTGTAGCAGTCTCACAGGGCTTCCCACAGAAGAACATAAGCTGTTCTTGGGTTAAAAGGGAGATCTTTCTACCTCATCTTGAAAGTGCACTATAAGGCTTTGTTCTTCCAGCTCTTGAGCAATCCTGAAGATTGCATAATAATTCAGGAGCATCCTAGACACACTAAGAGACTAACCGGTGACCCATTAGTGAAACTCTGGGGACTGGCACTCAAAGCAGCACACACACCCAAAACACTAGGTCAACTAAGAGCAACTATCTAAATTATGGGAGTCAAAATTCCAAAACTCCTCCTGGACCCTCTTCAGGAACACTGGCCAGTACTACACATAAGAGATACAGGGCTGAATCATGCACGTTTTTGTCTAAATGGGTTAATATTACTAAATATGGTATGTGTCTGCCATTCCCCAAATGGGGCACTTTTGATTTGGCTTCTTGTTATCTAAATTGTCTTGTTTTGTATAAATAAAGATTAACTAATGGGGCCCTG